TACTGCATATATTTAATTACATATATGTAGTTTACAAAATTACTTATAATTATTTGAGCGGTCAATTAATTGGATAACGGTCGGTCATTTATTGGGTTTCTTCGGTCAATAATTGGTGATTTTAGTATTTCAAGATTCAAATAACAAAATTAATATAATTTTGTTAATTTTTATTATAAATAGTTATTAATTATTATTAATTAAGTATTTAACTTTAATAAAATCCATTACAAATTGTTTTTAGTAGGTTAATAGATTTTTTATAGCTTAGTACAGAAAAAGAAAACCTTAATCGGTCAATAATTGGTGCATTTACCCTAATTTTCTTTTGTTTTTTCAAAATTTAATCAAAAATTTTGAAATTAAAAATTCAAAATTTTCATTTTGGCTCCAAAAAATTATTTTTGACTTTTGATCTCAAATTCTAGTTAAAATATTGGATACAGAAAAATTAATGAGGACTTTTTTTTTTTTGAAGAGAATTGAATTTCCTCCAGAAAAAGGTCTATTATAATTTTTTCGTTTTCTCAAAATTTATTGAAAAATTTTAAAATCAAACTTTCTATATCTTCATTATTGCTCCAAAAAATTGTTTTTGACTTTTGATCTCGAATTCTGGTTAAAGTATGAAAGATACAGTAAAATTCGTAAGAAATTGTTTTCTACAACAAAGGTTTCTTATAATTTTTTTGTACTTTCAAAATTTAATCAAAAAATTTGAAATGAAAAATTCAAAATTTTAATTTTGACTCAAAAAAATTGTTTTTGACTTTTAATTTCAAATTTTAGTTAAAATATTGGAGATACAGAAAAATCAATAAGAACCTTTTTTTGAAGAGAATTGAATTTTCTAAAAAAAAAGGTTTTTTATAATGTTTTCATTTTTTTTAAATTTAATCAAAAATTTTTAAATCAAACTCTATATTTTCATTTTAACTCCAAAAAAATGTTTTTGACTTTAAATATCAATTTATAGTTAAAATGTGAGAAATTCAGGATAATTAAAAAAGACCTTTTATAGAAAATTAAATTTTTTACAAAAAAGTCTCATCATTTTTTCATATCTTCAACATATAATCTCCAATTTTATATTTACTTTATTTAAGCAAAAATTTGATTAAAAAATTTTTTTAATTTTAAGCGACCCGTTAATAAAATTTTTTTTATTCAATTTAATAAAAATTACCTGGATAATAAATCCCTTAATACAGATTCTTTGGCACTTGCCATCGCAGTTTCAACTTCTTCGCCCAAGCGTTCTGTCAGCTGCATCACTTCCACAGATGTCAGAGTCCCTGAAAAATAAAAAAAAAATTTCTCTATCAATTCTTTTAATTATACTTAAACTTATCCGTTTTATCCTTAAATCTTAACAAATAAATTATAATTACTATTAAATAAACTACCTGGGCATGAGTCACAAAACCACTCTGTCTCTAAATCCAGCGGATCTCTAGGTAGAACAAGACCGGATCCACAAGTACATTTAAGAGTTCCCAGATGACTTTTTAGTTCCGTTGGATCTTTACAGCGCTCACAATGACATGCAAAGTATTTGGTCGCCAATAAATGTTCTCGGCGTGCTCTTGTTGACCATAAAACGTGAGTATACGTGGTACTTATGTGCTCGCCTCTGAAAATTTCATTAAAATTAATTTAATTGTCACATTTTACCTCAAGGACTTTACTCAAATGGTTTATTGTTAATAAAAAAAACAGTAAGTGGCTATTAAAAAATTTCACCGCCAATTTAATCATCATCAATTCCAGAAATTCAATCCGTACATACAATGTACGGATGTACGAAAGCTCTAGATCTTCTAAACTATGCAATCAATTAACTTGATTTTTTTTTTCATACCCTTAGAACACTTTTTTCTACAGCCTCTGTGAGTAACAATTATTAAAATCATTTATAAGTAATTAATTTTTAGAGAAATATCATCCGTACATAATTTAAAATTTTTTATCTATATATGTAACTTTAAGCAACTTTTAAATTTTTTTTCAAGCTCAATTTTTTAAATTACGGAATTTATTTTAATTTTCATTAAGAAAATGGTGAAATTTATTATTTATAAAGTTTTAAACAAAGTTTTTATCATAGGTCTTAACTGTGAATACTAATCATGCTAAAAACATTGTGCAAGTAGTGCAGAAAGTAATTTTTTCTTCTTCGGGTAATATTTTTAGCAAGATAAGTAAGTATAGTTATGATCAGTTCTAAAAACATTGCCCCAGAAATTAAAAAATTACTTTGCGCACTATTTATGTAAATGTTTATCAAGTATGATAATAATAACTGTAATACTTATTATTTTTAGGGTTATTAACAATGCAAAATATCAATTCTAACTACAAATTATAGGTGTCATAAGTGTAGTTATAATTAATAAATAATTAAGAACCATATAGAATTTTTTAAATTGAAAAAAAATTTTTTTGAACTTCAAAATCATTTTAAAGAGTTTCATTGTCTTGAATCAAGTAAAATTTACCTAAACTAAAAAAAGCTTCTTAGTTCAAGAAGTTTTCTTCTTAAATCAAGAAGATGTTCTTCAAAATTATTTTATTGATTTAAATTAAATTTTTTCTATAAAATAATATCATTACTTCTATGTACGATTTTATATATGAACAAAAAAAAATTAATTTGAATCAATCAAAAAATTTTGAAGAACTTTCTCTGATTTAAGAAAAATAATTTTTTAACAAAGAAAAATTAAGTAAATTTCACTTGATTCAAGAATTTTTTGTCTTGATTCAAGACAGTAAAACTAAAATTATTTTCTTGATTCAAGTAAATTGTTTTATCAGTACTTACTTGTCCATATACCCTATAATAAAATATATTTACATTTATATAATTAATAATTATACACCGAAAAGAATTGACTTGAATTAAGAGAAAAATTCTTGAACTAGAAAATAATTCTGAAGAGTTTCATTGTCTTGAATCAAGAAAAATTCTTGAATCAATTAAAATTCACTTAAACTAAGAAAAATTTCTTAGTTTTAGAAATTTTCTTCTTAAATGAAGAATATGAAGTTCAAAATTATTTTCTGGATTCAAAATAATATTTTTCTGTGTAATATTATTTAATTTGAATCAAGAAAAAAAAAATTTGAAGAAATTTTCCTAATTTGAGTAGAAAAATTTTTAAATAAAAAGTTTACTAGGAAATAATTTTAAAGAGATTCATTTTCTTAAATCAAGTAAAATTTACTTAAATCAAGAAGATGATGTTCAAAATTATTTTCTGGATTTAAGATAATATTTTTCTGTGTAATATTATGTAATTTGAATTAAGAAAAAAATTTGAAAAACTTTTGCTAATTTGAGTAGAAAAATTTTTAAATAAAAAGTTTACTAGGAAATAATTTTAAAGAGATTCATTTTCTTAAATCAAGTAAAATTTACTTAAATCAAGAAGATGATGTTCAAAATTATTTTCTGGATTTAAGATAATATTTTTCTGTGTAATATTATGTAATTTGAATTAAGAAAAAAATTTGAAAAACTTTTGCTAATTTGAGTAGAAAAATTTTTAAATAAAAAGTTTACTAGGAAATAATTTTAAAGAGATTCATTTTCTTAAATCAAGTAAAATTTACTTAAATCAAGAAGATGATGTTCAAAATTATTTTCTGGATTTAAGATAATATTTTTCTGTGTAATATTATGTAATTTGAATTAAGAAAAAAATTTGAAAAACTTTTGCTAATTTGAGTAGAAAAATTTTTAAATAAAAAGTTTACTAAGAAATAATTTTGAAGAGATTCATTTTCTTAAATCAAGTAAAATTTACTTAAATCACATTTATATAATTAATAATTATACACCGAAAAGAATTGACTTGAATTAAGAGAAAAATTCTTGAACTAGAAAATAATTCTGAAGAGTTTCATTGTCTTGAATCAAGAAAAATTCTTGAATCAATTAAAATTCACTTAAACTAAGAAAAATTTCTTAGTTTTAGAAATTTTCTTCTTAAATGAAGAATATGAAGTTCAAAATTATTTTCTGGATTCAAAATAATATTTTTCTGTGTAATATTATTTAATTTGAATCAAGAAAAAAAAAATTTGAAGAAATTTTCCTAATTTGAGTAGAAAAATTTTTAAATAAAAAGTTTACTAGGAAATAATTTTAAAGAGATTCATTTTCTTAAATCAAGTAAAATTTACTTAAATCAAGAAGATGATGTTCAAAATTATTTTCTGGATTTAAGATAATATTTTTCTGTGTAATATTATGTAATTTGAATTAAGAAAAAAATTTGAAAAACTTTTGCTAATTTGAGTAGAAAAATTTTTAAATAAAAAGTTTACTAAGAAATAATTTTGAAGAGATTCATTTTCTTAAATCAAGTAAAATTTACTTAAATCACAAAGAAGATGTTCAAAATTATTTTCTTGGTTCAATTAAATTTTTTTTAATGCTTTCTAGTATATATACCCTATAATAAAATAGATTTACATTTAATTAATTAATAATTGTACAATAAAAGGAAATTAACTTGAATCAAGAGAAAAATCCTTGATCTAGGGAATAATTTTGAAGAGATTTATTGTCTTAAATCAATAAAAATTAACTTAAATCAAGATGTTGAAAATTATTTAGATTCAAGAAAATTTTATTAAAAAATTCTCACTTTTTAATAGACGTCGCAGCAATAACAATAATCCTCGGCCGCCCTTTGTTATCAACAGTGAAATTATGCCTAGTATTAGCAAGACAAGAGTGTTCCATCAAGCAAGCATGCTGATAAATGGCAACAGAACCTTCCGGAGGATTCGTCTCCAAAGCATTGACATCAATGAGCCCGCAGATTTTCCTCACAGTGGCTTTATCAATCCCCAGGACACCAATAACCGGCTCCAGCTGCTGAATAACAGCTTCAGTTTCTTCAAAAGCTTCAGTACCAGGCCCGCGATCATCCTCGTGGCTCTGCAGACTTATCAGCGTCTGCCAGCGTGAGTGGCTCCTTTTGTGCACCAGGATCATCCTCAGGACCATCAGGATGTCGTAGGACGGAAGGAGTCTCAGACTCGCGAGCACTTTGCACTCGACTCCGTGCCGGTTTTCGTCGACGAGTCCGTGACAGGAGACTTTGCACGCGTACCAGGAACATCCTGGACACCGAACTCGGACTCCAGGCTCTCCACAGCCAACACACACTCGCTCAGTTTGTCTTCCCGGACCCCAGACCAACGGGGTCTCCGCTATCACCAGGTCTCCGGGGTTCAAGTCTCGGGCTGCTATCAAGTGATTCCCCAGCTCTGGAGAGGTGTTTACTTGCCAGGATCGGCAGGTCAGCTTGTGAGCTGGCCAATCGTCCCGTTGGTGGGCTGCACTGCAGTAAAATTTTGTCTTGCAACCCGTGCAACGGTGCTTTGCTTCTGATTGACATACTCCGCATTTTCCCGTCTCCATTTTTTTATCACACTGAAATTTATAGACATTAAAAATTTTTAGAAAAATACACAGTGAAAAAATTTGCGTTGTTGCGTAAAAAAAAAATTAATGTTAAATTTTTAACACTTATTTTGTTGAATTAACACAAAAAAGTGTTAAATATTTAACACAAAATTTTTTACTGGGAAAATTAGCAGACATTTAAAAATTTTTAGAATTTTTTTATTTAAAAAAATTATTACCAAAAAATTTAGGAAATTATGCCTGCAATTTTTAAAAAATATTTTTTTATTTTTAAGTATTAAAAAAAAAAAAAAATTAAAAATTTTTTGATGTCATGAATTTTATTTTAAACAAATAAATTTGTTTTAAAAAATTGCATTTTTGATTTTTTTACTATAAATTATTTTTATTACAAAAATTCATATAATTATAATAAATATTTATCTGATAAATTAATATTCATTTTGTTTGCTAATTTTGGTATTATAAATATTATTTTAATTTTATAGTAATGAAAAAATTTAATTACAAAAATTAACATAAAAAAAAAATTATTGATAATATAAATAATAATTTTTTTTTGTTAATATTTATAAAAATTAATTTTTTGAACTTACTGTATATATTCTAAGCAGCTAACATTTACCAAACTGTCTTGATTCTTGATCGTGACACTACACACTTTGAGAGTTTGTTTTAAATATAACTAGATTATAAATAGATCCACTATGTAGGAAGAAATTTCTACTACTGTGATTTAATTGTTACATTTTTAAATATGGATAGAAAATTTTAACCATTCTTTATTTTTAAAATTTTAACCATTTTTTGATAAACAATTTTTTTTTTAAATCAATATGTGTAAAATTTTTTTTTTCAACAAAACATTTTGTCTAATTAAATATCTTGAAAATAAATAAATATTGATTAAATTTAAATTTTCTAAAATTTACAGGATTGTAATTTTAAAAACCGCGCCAATATGTTTGACGAAATGGCGAATTGCTCAAATAAAGATATATAAACCTTTTTTTTTAGGTTATTGTAACTAATACGCGATAATTATTTTTAAAATATGTTTTCAATTGAAATAATATCTTAAAAAGAAATTAAAATTGTTAAAATATATAAATTTAAAAACTTACAAGACTATACACATCAAAATGGCGCCAATAAGTCTGACAAAATGGCGAATTGCTCAAATGAAGATATATAAACCTTTTTTTGGGTTATTATTTTAATTAATACCCAATAATTGTTAAAAAATATTCTTTTTAATTAAAATATTACTTTAAAAATGATTAAAATGCTAGTTAAATTTATAAATTTGAAAACTTACTAAATTAGACATCAAAATGGCGCCAATTATTTCGACAAAATGGCAAATTTTCCAAATGAAGATATATAAGCCTTTTTTTAGGTTATTATTTTAATTAAAACTCAATAATTATTAAATAATGTATCATTTCATTAAAATATTACTTTAAAAATAACTAAATGTTAATTAAATTTATAAATTTGAAACTTACAAGACTAGTCATCAAAATGGCGCCAATAATTTTGACAAAATGGCGAATTATTTAAACTAAACTACTTTAACTAAACTACTTTTTTTAGAGTAATAATTATCGGTAAAGAAAATAATTATTAAAAAAAATTATTTTCAATTAAAATAATACCTTAAAAATGAATAAATATTGATTAAAATTGACAAATTTTAAAACTTACAAAATAAGTCATCAAAATGGCGCCAATAAATCCGACAAAATGGCGGATTCTTCAAATGAAGACATATAGACCTATTTGAGGGTTATAATTGTAAGTAATAGGCAATAAATATAAAAATATTCTTCTTTTGATTAAAATAATACCTTAAAAAAAATTAAAAATTAATAAAATTTAAGAATTATTATAGTTTCTTTTTAAATAAATATAAAAAATATCGATCCTGTAAAAAGAAAAAAATAAAAATTAAATGATCCTTTAAAGAAAAGAGCTCCTTAATAGAACAGAGTGAACATTAGAAACCGATAAAACGACTAAATAAATAAATTTGTTATATAAAAGTAGAGAGATGTGTTGATTTGTAAAACGAGAGTGAGGAAAGCTCAATACGCTGTAAGATATTCTCTCGGGAACGTGATCGTAGAAACGCTTGTAAAATCCGTAAATGGCGATCGGTTTATTCCAAAAGTAATATTACATAGGTAGGTACAACTCGGATTCTCTCGGTACCGATATACCATGTTCATTAACATTAGAAACGTCTTCCAGATCCGCAGTATGTACGTAATCCATATGTCCGTTTTTTATTTATATTATATTATGTATATACATATATACATACATTGAAGCCTTGACCGATCGACGATAAAAACGTTATCCATTGGTATTCTTCATTCGATTACATGTCATGGCAAATTTTCCAAATGAAGATATATAAGCCTTTTTTTAGGTTATTATTTTAATTAAAACTCAATAATTATTAAATAATGTATCATTTCATTAAAATATTACTTTAAAAATAACTAAATGTTAATTAAATTTATAAATTTGAAACTTACAAGACTAGTCATCAAAATGGCGCCAATAATTTTGACAAAATGGCGAATTATTTAAACTAAACTACTTTAACTAAACTACTTTTTTTAGAGTAATAATTATCGGTAAAGAAAATAATTATTAAAAAAAATTATTTTCAATTAAAATAATACCTTAAAAATGAATAAATATTGATTAAAATTGACAAATTTTAAAACTTACAAAATAAGTCATCAAAATGGCGCCAATAAATCCGACAAAATGGCGGATTCTTCAAATGAAGACATATAGACCTATTTGAGGGTTATAATTGTAAGTAATAGGCAATAAATATAAAAATATTCTTCTTTTGATTAAAATAATACCTTAAAAAAAATTAAAAATTAATAAAATTTAAGAATTATTATAGTTTCTTTTTAAATAAATATAAAAAATATCGATCCTGTAAAAAGAAAAAAATAAAAATTAAATGATCCTTTAAAGAAAAGAGCTCCTTAATAGAACAGAGTGAACATTAGAAACCGATAAAACGACTAAATAAATAAATTTGTTATATAAAAGTAGAGAGATGTGTTGATTTGTAAAACGAGAGTGAGGAAAGCTCAATACGCTGTAAGATATTCTCTCGGGAACGTGATCGTAGAAACGCTTGTAAAATCCGTAAATGGCGATCGGTTTATTCCAAAAGTAATATTACATAGGTAGGTACAACTCGGATTCTCTCGGTACCGATATACCATGTTCATTAACATTAGAAACGTCTTCCAGATCCGCAGTATGTACGTAATCCATATGTCCGTTTTTTATTTATATTATATTATGTATATACATATATACATACATTGAAGCCTTGACCGATCGACGATAAAAACGTTATCCATTGGTATTCTTCATTCGATTACATGTCCACCGGCTATAAATATTTTTTTACCGATTTTTTTTACAACATTTGTCATGTATCGTGTATCGCCAAACCTGGAGAAAATTTAATATTACTAATTTATTAAAACAGTTAAATAAATTATTTTTCATTTATTTATTTACTTAAATAATTACTAGCATTCTTGCAGTCACTATGTGACTGCCGTTACTTGTGAACCATAAATAAAATTTTACTTTATTAAATAATAAATTTTGTTAAATTGCACTGTACTTTTTGAACAATTAATGTTTTCAAAGATATAAGCTCATCCCGGTGTTACACTCATCAAAAGCTTTCATTTGAGTACCCACATGCATTTTTGATATATTTTTCATATTTACATATATATAATATATATAAATATGTGAAAAATTGATGTGGGTACTTAAATGAAAGGTCTCGAAGTGTAACTTCGGGATGAGCTTATATCTTTAAAAATGTCAGTAGTTGACAAGATACAAGGTCATTTTTTAATTATTGACATTTTTGAAGATATAAGCTCATTTCAATGTTACACTAATCGAGACCTTTCATTTAAGTACCCACATGGGATTTTTCATATATTTTATATATATAGTATTTGTGAAATATATAAATATATATATAAAATATATGAAAAATTGATGTGGGTACTCAAATGAAAGATCTTGATTAATGTCACATCGGGATGAGCTTATATCTTTAAAAATGTTAATAGCTGACAAGATACAATGTCATTTCTTAATTATTGACATTTTTTAACATATGAGCTCATCCCGATCTTAAACTCATGAAAAGCTTTCATTTGAGTACCCACATGGTATTTTTTATATATTTTATATATATAGTATTTGTGAAATATATAAATATATAAAATATATGAAAAATTTATGTCATGTGGGTACTTAAATGAAAGGTCTCGATGA